AACTGCTTAGAGAGGGCTGAAAGCCCTATGAAACGGTATATAAGTCTTACTGCTATTGCTATTGCTATGTTTTAGCAAATGCACAAATTGCCAGAGAACATATGGGCAAGGAAATGTATTACAACAGAAGGTCTGATGAACAGATATCCGACAGGAACATACTGTATGAACACTGTTCTATGCACCAAAGTTTCAGGCTAAAAATATTTTGGAAGTGCTCAACGTCTGTGGGGAGGGGAACAGAGCAGACTTGGTTTTTAAGTGATCTGCTAGAGCAGGGTGTCAAACATGATTTCTTCGAGGGCTGGATCGATATTGTAGTTCTCCTCCGTGGGCTGGCAAGGGGGGGGGCAGCAGGGAGCAAGGGGAAGACGGGATGGATGCCTGCTATAGCACCCTGCTGGCTAAAATAGGGCACGGGTGGGGAGGGCACGCGCGTCCCCCTCTGCCGTTTTCAGCCTGAACAGTTCCTGCAACACTTTACTGTGGGCAGGGGTGGGTTCCGGCAGTTGCTCATGACCGCACGCGCGCATGCACAGTGCAATAAAAGTTGCTGCTAGTTCCCGCGACCCAAGCCACGAAACCACTACCGGTTCGGCCGAATCAGTCCGAACTGGTAGGAACTCACCACTGGCATGGGGGACCAAGTGTGCCTCATTTTCACCCTCCATGCCCTCCTGCAGCACCCTCTGGTGGCTGAAAATGGGCCAAAAATGGGCCATGCGGGGACCCCCTGCAGCCCATTTTCAGCCTCCCTGGCCTCCAGGAGCACTCTGCCAGCCAAAAATGGGCACTTGGCTCATTTTAGCCGGCAGAGGCATTACGGGCCAGTCCTTTAATATTTGCAGGCCAGCTGTATGGGTCAGATTTAAGCACCCCCGTGGGCCGGATCCTGCCCATGGGCCTTGAGTTTAAACCCCACCCCCTGTGCTAGAGACAAAGAAGTAGGTTTGTGGCAGGATTTTTAATTGCAGGCATTAAGTATCACAACACTACCTTGTTTCTGTTTCGGCTATTCTAGGCCTTCTTGGAACCAGGTAGAGGAGAATCCTTTCTATCATCAAAATTGCTTTGCGTAGAGAGACGGGCAGCACATAAATTTAATAAATAAATGTGGGTTGGACGGCTTTATTGTTTTTCATGTGAACATCACCCAGACAACTCTTGTTAGGGGGTAACTGATAAATTAAAGCAAGATGCCGTGGCAAAAAAAAAAAAAAAAATTGCATTAAAAGTGCATTAAGACAAACAGGTTGCATCTTAACTTCACTGAGTTGAATTTTCATTTTTATTTCTTCTTTGGCTAGGCAGACTACGCAAAAGGTAGTTGTTAGCAAACCTAGGGTTTTATTTTTGCTCCTCTGAAAACAACTTACCTGGGAAATTGAACCGGCTGTCCCGCTGGCCCATGGGAGATGGGTTTGGGGGTGGCGTTGCGCTGGGGGGGTTGGAAGACTGGAAGGGGGCTGGAGAGGACGGTGTGGAAGAGGTGGTAGAAGAGGGGTTGCTACTGGAGTCGAGGTGATTGATTGCTGTGGGATCCTGCAAGAGATCAAAGCAACACAAAAATCTTGGACATTAGGGATTTTTGAGACGAGACAAAACATCATTCTTGGCTTTCCTTCCTTAGCCAGGAAGCATTGTTTTAAGACTCCGAGATCAACTGGCTATGACTGGCCAACCTCTTAAGCCAGGAGAGTCAATTCATAAGACACTTGCAGCCTTTTTAATCCCAGATTGGCTTTCTCTATAGATCACAATAGGAATGGGGTGGCTCAGGGGCTTAGACGCTGCGCTTGTTGATCAGAAAGGTCGGCAGTTCGGCGGTTCGAATCCCTAGCAATAGCAATAGCAATAGCAGTAGACTTATATACCGCTTCATAGGCCTTTCAGGCCTCTCTAAGCGGTTTACAGAGAGTCAGCATATTGCCCCCAACAATCTGGGTCCTCATTTTACCCACCTCGGAAGGATGGAAGGCTGAGTCAACCCTGAGCCGGTGAGATTTGAACCGCTGACCTGCTGATCTAGCAGTAGCCTGCAGTGCTGCATTTAACCACTGCGCCACCTTGGCTCCACCTTAGCACTGCGTAATGGAGTGAGCTCCCGTTACTTGTCCCGGCTTCTGCCAACCTAGCAGTTCAAAAGCATGTAAAAAATGCAAATAGAAAAATAGGGACCACCTTTGGTGGGAAGATAACAGCGTTCCGTGCGCCTTCGGCGTTTAATCATGCTGGCCACATGACCACGGAGACATCTTTGGACAGCGCTGGCTCTTTGGCTTTGAAACTGAGATGAGCACTGCCCCCTAGAGTCGGGAACGACTAGCACATATGTGCGAGGGGAACCTTTACCTTTACCTATGGATCACAATACTGCTAAAATGTGGCGTCTAGATACAAGTACTTCTCGGCTTACAACCATTCACTTAGCAACCATTTGAAATTACAGCGGCACTGACGAAAGTGACTTGCAACCGATCCTGACATTTACAACTGATGCAGAACCCCTGCGGTCACGGGTTCAAACATTTGGGTGCTTGGCAACTGGCATGTAATGACAATGGTTGCAGCATTCTGGAATCAGTGTTCGCCATCTGCAATCTTCCTAGCCAGCTTTTGACAAGCAAACTCAGTGGGGATTCGCTTAGTGACTGTATGATTGGCTTAACAAAGGCATAGATTTGCTTATCCAAGAGCCAAGGTGGCGCAGTGGTTAAATGCAGCACTGCAGGCTACTGCTAGATCAGCAGGTTAGCGGTTCAAATCTCACCGGCTCAGGGTTGACTCAGCCTTCCATCCTTCCGAGGTGGGTAAAATGAGGACCCAGATTGTTGGGGGCAATATGCTGACTCTCTGTAAACCGCTTAGAGAGGCCTGAAAGGCCTATGAAGCGGTATATAAGTCTACTGCTATTGCTATTGCTATTATCGACCTCGGCAAAAATGTAAAATTGAGTGTGACTCACTTAACTATCTTGCTTAGCAACAGAATTTCTGGTTCCAATTGTGGTTATAAGATGAGGACTACCATATTTTTTGGAGTATAAGATGCACCTTTCCCCCCCAAAAAGGGGGTGAAAATCTGGGTGCATCTTATACATTGAATACAGCATTTTTGGCCTACCGAAACACCGTCCCCTTTGCAAAAATGGAAGTGCAGAGTGTTTGGGGGACTTGCAAAGTGCTCCTGAGGGCTGGGGAGGGCTGTTTTTGCTCGTTTTTGCCTCCCCGCTCCCAGTCCCCAGGAGCACTCTGCAAGCCTCCTAAAGATCTGCATGCCCTTTTTGTTTGCAAAAAATGAGATGTGCAGAGGATTTGGGAGGCCTGCAGAGTACAAAAACTTTTTTTTTTAAATTTACCTCTTCAAAATCATGGTGTGTCTTATACTCCAGTGCGTCTCATAGTCCGAAAAATATGGTACTTATACTGGCTTTCAGCACAGGTTTCATTAAAATGTGTTTGCTAAACACTGTGCTGGAAGGCAACCGCAGGTGGTTTTAACTGATCTCAACCCTCATGGCTCTGTGCGTGTCCTTTGTAAATCTCAATACTGTACCTTTTTAGCTTGGGCTTTTGGTAGAGTCCCAAACTGTGGTTCTGAAGGCCGGTCCACCGGATTATTGATATCGGAAGGGACACTCTCTGTTCTCCTTAACCGTGGTACTATTGAATCAGAGAGAAGACAAAACCAGCATTTTACTTGGCCTTCTTAAAAATACAACAGCAACACTGAATTCAGAATAAAGGCGTTGGAAGGGACCTTGGAGATCTTCTAGTCCAACCCTCTACTCAAGTAGGAGACTCTATATCAGTGACGGCAAACCTTTTCGGCACCATGTGGCCAAACCGGAATGTGCATGCAGGCCAGCTGGTCTTTGGGTTTCTGGAATGCATGTGTTTGCCGGCCAACTGATCATTGTGCGCACTGGAGCACTGGAAACCCAAAGACCAATTTGGTGGCAAGCGCATATCTGATTTTTGGCAATTTTTCAGGCAGTTTTCAGGCCATTTTTTGGGCCAAAAACAGCCCGGAAAACAGCCTGAAAGCCGCCCCAGAACAACCTGGGTTTTGGCTGTTTTTTGGCATTTTTCAGGCCGTTTTCCAGCACTCCAGAGCCCGCGAAGACCAGCTGGCCAGTGCACCAGAAACCTGGAGAGCAGCTGGTAATGGCACGCGTCCCCACAGAGAAGACTCCGTGTGCCACCTCTGCAGCATGTGCTATAGATTCACCATCATAGCCCTATATCATCCTAGATATATAGCTGTCTAATCTCTTCAGTGTCACCTCCAGTGATGGAACACCTACAACTTCTAAAGGCAAACCATCCTAGTGGTTAATTGTGTAGCCAACAAGAGAGAGACGGGAGTAATATGTTATGTCAAAGGCTCTCACTTAGTCAGAATAATAATAACAGAGTTGGAGGAGACCTTGGAGGTCTTCTAGTCCAACCCACTGCTCAAGTAGGAAACCTTATACCATTTCAGACAAATGATTGTCCAATCTTCAAAAGTTTCAGTGAGGGAGCATCCACAACTTCTGGAGGCAAGTCATTCCAACGATTAATTGTCTTCACTGTCAGGACATTTCTCTTTAATTCCAAGTTGTTTCTCTCCTTGATTAGTTTCCATCCATTGTTTTTTGTCCTGCATTTTTGGTGCTTTAGAAAATAGGTTGACCCCCTCTTCTTTGTGGCAGCCCCTCAAATATTGGAACACTGCATTCCTGGCCTCTCTATTCCCTTTTCACTAGGCTGGACAACCCAATTCCTGCTCACCATTCTTCATACGTTTTATCCTCCAGCCTACTAATCATCTTTGTTGTTCTTTTCTGCATTCTTTCAGGTTATCTACATCTTTTTAATAATACGGTGACCCAAACTTAACTTAAACAACAAGTAATCCGGTAAGAGGAAGAAAAGTTTAAAAAGAATATAAAGGCACTTACTAGGCAAGAAAGATATTCTACAGGGTGGGGCTTCTTTGGTGCATTTATTGTGGCATTTTAATCTGCAAAAGGGAAAAGACATATTAGGTACAAGCTAAGCTAAATTGTATGGGTTGCTGTGGCTCGGTGGCTAAGATGCTGAGTTTGTCAATCAGAAAGGTTGGCAGTTTGGCAGTTTGAATCCCTAGCGCCATATAACGGAGTGAGCTCCCGTTACTTGTCCCAACTTCTGCCAACCTAGCAGTTCGAAAGCATATAAAAATG